CCCAGGGCTGGCTGGCCCAAAGCCTCTGAAGGAACAGTGGGGTGTAATGGCAGGGACCTGGGGGACTGTGCCTGCCCAGTTTCCTGTGGCCTGGAAGAGACAGGTCTCAGGCACCCAGCATTCACAGGCGGTGAGCCAGCAAACTGGTTCTCTGCATCTTCCACAGCAGATAGGAAATCCTATAAGGAAGCAGAGACAGAGGGTCTTGGCAGCTAGAAATCAAAATCAAGAAACCACCTTACAGTTCAGAAATGTGGCATGTATGTGTGAGTGCAGATACCTGCAAGCAAATAAACCCAGGCATGAAAGGCAATGGTAAGCCCGGGAGCAGTGGCTCATGCCTATAAGCAGTGGCTCACTCTGGGAGTCTGAAGTGGGAGGACTGCTTGAGCTCAGGAGTTTGAGACCAGCCTGAGCAACAGTGAGACCTGTCTCTTAAAAAAAGAAAGGCAATGGTGGTGTATCTCACCACTTTTGACCTCACTCCGTAAGCCTACCACCAGGCTTCTATCAGAAACGCTCTAAGGCTAAGCCTTCAAGTAGCATCTCTCTTTCTTCAGTCTCAGAGTGGGGGTTGGGAAAGGGCAGTTAGAGGAGGACAGTAGAAGCAGATGTACCAGGGCACCAAGAAGTCAAACAAATCACCCAAGGTCACACCCCCATCTCAAGGAGACTAGCTTTCTTATGTCCAGCCTGTTCAACAGGGATCTATCCAGCTGATCATGCTGCCTACCCTCAGCTCAGTCCTCAGCCCCAACACACACCTGTGTGCAACACACACACACACACACTAAGCCAGAGAGGCCTTGGATCCAGCAAAATAGGCAGAAGTTAAATATAGCTTTTCAGGCAAGTTAAATTAAGTATGGATTCCAGTTGGGAAGCAAGGTGAGATTGACACCTTCAAGAGCAACAGACCTGTTCTGAGGGTGTTTTTGAGTCAGAACTGCTGATTTAACTGACAGGAAGGTCCCCTCCACCCTCATCCCCTGCTGCCAGCAGTGGATTGTCTGGGCTAGAGAAAGGTTTTTTCCTGCTTTGTGTATTACCAAGAGAGTCCCCTACTCCAGCAGGACCGCCTTAGGATTTAGCAATAATAATAATAATCAGAATTATAGCAGTAATAAAATCCTAGTGACCCTGGAGGTTGATGGACCCCTTTTCTCCTGGAGAGCTTACTCTCAGACATGACATCATCTGCCTTGGGAAGGGGGAAAGGGACTGTTCTGCCGTTTTCAGGGAACAGAAACTTGAGCTGTCAGAGTTCTTCACTCTAATTCCATTACCAGCCTAGCAGTCCTCCCATCACCTTGGAAGACCCAAGAGGGTCACTTTAATAGTCACTTTTTCAGCCTATAATCATACATCTCCAAAGCTGAAAAACAAAGACAAGGACACATCTCCTTGACAAAGGTGGCAGTTCTGAATTATCTGTAAAAACAAAAATCAAATTCCTAAGTAATAACCAAAACAACCAACATTTGAAACCTCACCGGATACCAGGTACCATGTAAGCATTTCAATTAATTCTCACAATGGCCCTATGAATAGGCACTATTATTATTCTCACTTTATGGGTACAGAAACTGAGACTCAGGTTAAATCATTTGATAAAACCAGGACTAGAATTCATCTGTGCCCATGTCACTATGTCTTAGACCCTCAATGAATGGGACAAGCCAGAGACCAATCTTTAAGAGGTCTGAGGAAAGTCTGCTTTCCCCTTCACACTTCAGCTTTCACAAGCCTCAAAGGAAGAGAAGGGTGGGGTTCAGGCTGCCAGAAAGGTCACTGGTGCAGCATTCACCACCATACCAGGCATAAATTAGGCATCTGAACAAATTCCAAACAGAATTTTTTAGGCAAAGCAGTGGGAGACAAAAAGTAGGTTTTGGCCGGGCGTGGTGGCTCACACCTGTAATCCTAGCTCTCTGGGAGGCCGAGGCGGGCGGATTGCTCGAGGTCAGGAGTTCGAAACCAGCCTGAGCAAGAGCGAGACCCCATCTCTACTATAAATAGAAAGAAATTAATTGGCCAACTAATATATATATATAATAAAAAAATTAGCCAGGCATGGTGGCACATGCCTGTAGTCCCAGCTACTTGGGAGGGTGAGGCAGAAGGATTGCTTGAGCCAGGAGATTGAGGTTGCTGTGAGCTAGGCTGATGCCATGGCACTCACTCTAGCCTAGGCAACAAAGCGAGACTCTGTCTCAAAAAAAAGTAGGTTTTGAATGGTTTGTCACTGGTAAAATATAATAATTCTATAAATGTAGTTTAGTGGTTTTCATGTACATTAGACTGGAATTGGGAGGCCAAGTCCTCATCCTGGCTGTTGGTGCTATATTCTTTTTGTGTGTGTGCTATATTCTTAGGCAGCTTAATTTGTCTCTTTGGCCTTAATTCACTTAAATCCTGTCTCTTTTGAAAAAAGTTTGAGGTGTCAATTTCTAGCCTCCTGGATAAAACTATATCTATTGTTTCTGAATGGGAAGAGAGTTGTGGAGACCACTGGTGCTGTGTTCTCTGGGGCCGTCCCCCCCAATTTTCTTTTTTCTTCTGAGACAAGGTTTTGCTTTCTTGTACAGGCTAGAGTGTTGTGGCATCAGCCTACCTCACAGCAACCTCAAAATCCTGTGCTCAAGCGATCCTCCTGCCTCAGCCTCCCAAGTAGCTGGGACTATAGGTGCGTGCCACCATGCCCAGCTAATTTTTTGTATTTTTAGTTGCCCAGCTAACTTTTTTCTATTTTTAGTAGAGATGGGGTCTCGCTCTTGCTCAGGCTGGTCTCCTGAGCTCAGCAATCCTCTGCCTCAGCCTCCCAGAGTGTTAGGATTACAGGCATGAGCCATCGTGCCTGCCCCTCCCCCCAAAATTCTGATTTAATTGGTTTGTGGTAGGGCCTAGAAAAGGATGATTCTGATGTGCTGGATTTGGATCTAGTCTAATCCCTCATCTTCTGAGGAGACAGAAGGAAGGGAAGAGTATGTGAGGTGGAAGAACATTCTCATACTGTAGAAAAGAAAATGGAAGGCCAGAAATAAAGTAACCTGTTCTGGTTCACAAAGCCAGTTGGTGACCCCAGAACTCTTGTTATCCAGTAACTATGCTGTCTTCTACACTCTCTGGTTCTCCATAAACATTTTCCCCCACCCCTTCCCATCATGAAGGCAGATTAAATCATCTACATGACACAGCTTCCAGGAAAGGGCCCTTATAATTTAAAGGTATGACAATTAGGCAACTCATCTCTCTGGTTATTTTTTGTTTGTTTCTAAGACAGTTAAGTAGGTTGTTTACATTTCTCTCATCATTTCTTAGCCTCATACAGACAAAAAAATACACCAGCCAAATAAAAGGAGGCTAGTGCAGGCTGCTCCAAAATGTTCTGGACCTGAGTGTTTACATCTTAGGACTTCCTCTGCCACCTCTGATCACCAACATTTCCTTACCTCATCTTCAAACTCCTCTTCCACAGCAAACAGCTTCTGCAAACTGCACGCCTGAAAGGAAAACAAAACAATTGAGGTTGGTGGAGAAATACTGTTTGAAAGTACGCTCTGTCCTCACTATGCTTCTTTCCAACACTAACAAGACTATCAGGTGTACTGTTTTTTGTTTGTGTTTTGCTAGTGCTGGGAGAGGAATAAGGGATTGAGAAGAAACAGGATTTAAAGACTTAAATGATCTAAAATACTTTTCTTTAGCTTCTACAGGTGAGTTTAAAAAAAATAAATAAATAAATAAATAAATAAATAAAATACTTTTCTTAGCCAGGTATGGTGGCACATGCCTGCAATCCCAGCTACTCTGCAGACTGAGGTGGGAGAATCGCTTGAGCTCAGCCTGGGCAGTGCAGAGAGACCTTGTCTCTTAAAAAAAAAAAAACAAAAAAACAAAACAGCAAAATGCTTTATTGTAAAATAATCCACTCACAGCCATCTACATTAATCCTGGAAGATGGGGAAGGGGGCAATGAGAAGGCTGCCAAGAAGAGCAAGGCCAGTTCTTCAGGACTGGGCAGATGGGCCTATGGATTTTGCAACATCCTAAAGGTTTCATCTGAGAAACCTTTGTCAAATGTGAGAGAAAATATCATGAATCCAAGCATGCCCAGCACCGTGGCCTGAAAATCAAGCCAGGTTTCCTTCTACCTAATCCAATACCTAAAAACTAGGGTCCCAGAAGGGTAGGATGCCCCAGTCCACGGTTCTTTCTTTCAAGCCAGCAGGGCTGCTGTAGCAAGCTCCAGATGAGCGTCAAAGCCAGAGCCAAGGGTTGTGCCTAACCCCAGATGCCAGAGCAGCAAAAGCTACAGTTAGAGATACCTTTCTGGAGAGTCCAAGGGTCACAGTGGATGAGTGAGGGCGGGAAAGGGGGAGAGATGGACCCAAGAAGTACGACATTTGAACGCATCCGGAAGGATGAACAGGAGTTCTCCAAGAAGAGCAGGAAGGCAACAGGAGGGAAACCGAGGCCCGGGGGTGGAAAGTACTTTCCCAGGGTCTCCGGCGCGTCTATGCTAAGCCCTGACTACAGCCCAGGTCTCCCGACTCCACCGAACTCCCACCCAGCCCAGCCCCGCTGCTCGTGCGGGTGAGGAGCTAGAACCCCGAGAGCGCTGCCCTAGGCTCGGCTACGAGGCGACCCCACGGCTCCCGGCGTGAGCGCGGCATTACCATGGCGATGGCGGGTGGGCTCCGGCCGGTGGATCCCGACTCAGGGGGGTCGCCAGGGCCTCGGGCTTGGCCCGGGTGGAAGGGTTGGACTCCAGGCACCGTGCTCCCGGGTCGAGGTCAGAGGGAGGCGTTTCTGCGACGCCACCGGGGGCCGCGGGAGGGTCTCCAGGAGGGCAGGCGCTCCAGGCCGTATTCGAAGCCGCCGCCACCGAGGTGACTCCTCCCTCTTAAAGGGGCGGATCTGTTTCTAACCCGCCGACACAAAGGCCCTTCATCCTCCAGTCTTCCGCCCCAGCCTTAAAGGGGAAACGGACGGGCTCTCGGTCGCCCCCCAGCGGCCCTGTCGGCCCAGTGGGTTGATTCAACAGGTGTTCAGGTTGGGGAATCTTGGCCCACGACGTCCAGTCCTGCCTCCCACCTCATCCCTTTTTTGTGTTAAGCACACTAGGGACTGGGCACTGGAGCATGACTTCATTCACCCCAGGACCCACCCGGTAGGTTTGTCTGTCTGTTCAGCCATCCATCCATCCATCCATTCTTACGATACACATTTATCAAGCAAAAATGTTCTTGGTCTGGCTCTTTTTATCCTTCATGTTTCAGCTCAGACCTCAGATCTTTTCTGTCACTTTCTCTCTTAAGTAACATCCCTTCTGCCATCACAACTCTCTGTTTCCTTCTCAGCACTTTCCATATTTTATACTTGCCCTGGTTTACATCTTTACTTCCTGTCTTCACTAGAATATCAACTCCATGAGAACTTGTCTGGCTTGTTCAACTTTGTATCCCCAGCACCTAGCACAATGTTCAGTAGAGTTATTGAATGAATGACACAGTGATTACTGTGCATCAGGTACAAGGATTGACACTGGGTATAGAGAAATAATTAAGACTTCTTGGCTGAGTGTGGTGGCTCATGCCTGTAATCCTAGCACTCTGGGAGGCCGAGGCAGGTGACTTGCTCGAGGTCAGGAGTTCGAAACCAGCCTGAGCAAGACCAAGACCCTGTCTCTACTATAAATAGAAAGAAATTAATTGGCCACCTAATATATATAGAAAAAAAAAGTAGCCGGGCATGGTGGCACATGCCTGTAGTCCCAGCTACTCGGGAGGCTGAGGCAGCAGGATCACTTGAGCCCAGGAGTTTGAGGTTGCTGTGAGCTAGGCTGACACCACGGCACTCTAGCGCGGGCAACAGAGTGAGACTCTGTCTCAAAAAGAAATAAAAAAAAAAAAGACCAGCCTGAGCAAGAGCGAGACCCCATCTCTACTAAAAATAGAAAAATTAGCCAAAATTAGCTGGAAGTCTTGGTGTGCACCTGCAGTCCCAATTACTCAGCAGGCTGAGGCAAGAGGATGACCTGTACCCAGGAGTTTGAGGCTACAGTGAGCTATGATGATGCCACTGCACTCTACCTGGGTGACAGAGGAAGACTTTGTCTCAAAAAAAAGACTTCTTGTGCCCTCAAATTCAAATTCATAACAAGGCAGAGACACCAAAGCCAGCTCTCCTTACTAAAGTCGACTGTGGTTAATAGCCTTTAGTCCTACCTCAGTTTCCCTTTTTGCTTGTCACCAGAGAGCTACTCAGAGCATCAGCTAGAGCTGCATAGTTTTGAAGACTCAAGCAGGAGGAAGGTAGCTGACTTGGTTTCTTGATAATCTGATCTGAACCATCCCTGAATCTTCCCCAGGGTGGCCTGGCCTGGTGTTACCTGGGGACAACCTGAAGCTGTCATCAGAGCTGCATGTGGACCAGTTTGCCTGTCCTATGTCAAAAGGGAGGCCAGAATGGCGAGGGGAGGGGGAACCCAGACTACCAACTCTGGGTTGCAAGTTAGGGATTCCCTCAAGTCCTCTGTGCTTCTGAGCTAGGGGACAAAGCCCAAACCCTGTCAAATACAGGCCTCCTTGCCTCACAGGCATCCCAGACACAGCTCGTCCTGCCCAGCCCTGGGTAGTCCCAGGAGATCCTGTTTCAGGGCTCCCCATAATCCTGTTTATGGGTTCTATCAGCTCCAGCTAAAGGGAGATGACCAAGGCCAAGAATAATAACAATAACTCCTACCCACACTATCATACTATAGTTTGCAGCTTCCAATTTAACCAGTTGTTCATTTTTGTTTTCACAAAGATCTTATGAAGGATGAGGGACAAGTATTACTTTATAGATTAGGAAACTGAGGCCCAGAGGGGGAAAGGACTCCCTCATGGTCACACAGTCACTTAGTGGTGGATATTCTGCTTAGAAATCCCATGCTTTCTCCTCCGTCACTTTTCTAAGTTAAATGAACGTGTCCTCTGCCTTTGTCACCTGCTGCCCTCAACTCCTGTTAGAACCTGGATGTGGGAGGAGGAGTGTTGCAGTGGAACTGGAACATTTTAGAAAGGGGAATTTGTGATTTTAGAGTTGGTAAGGACCTCCATGCTGGAGGGTCCCCCCAGATCGAATATCCTTTTCTTTCTAGCACTGTCATATCAAGGGAAATGAAAAGAGCTAGTCTCCATGGTGATGATGCCTAGGTCCTTTTCTCCCTCCTCTTAGAAGAGAGGTTAGCAGGCTTATCTCTTTAATGATCAGATTTGAGGAAAATGGTGGCTCAGACCAGAAAGGAAGGGGTGAGTTCAGGAAATAGAAAAAGTGAGTGCTGGGCCTTGGGCAGGAAGACCTACATCAAAAGACACCAGATTCCTGGCTGTGAAGTGGGGTACAAAAGGAATTGGGTGAGGCTGGGTGTGGTGGTTCACGCCTGTAATCCTAGCACTCTAGGAGGCCGAGGTGAGAGGATCCTTTGAGGTCAGGAGTTTGAGACCAGTCTGACCAAGAGTGAGATCCCGTCTCTATTAAAAATGGAAAGAAATTAATTGGCCAACTAAAAATATATAGAAAAAATTAGCCGGGCATGGTGGCGCATGCCTGTAATCCCAGCTACTTGGGAGGCTGAGACAGGAGGATTGCTTGAGCCCAGGAGTTGGAGGTTGCTGTGAGCTAGGCTGACACCACGGCACTCTAGCCCAGGCAACAGAGTGACACTCTATCTCAAAAAAAAGGGAGTGGGTGACATGAAGGAGCCTCAATAGCACTCTGATTTAACCCATAATAATAATAGCCAATACTTCCTGTGTACTTTCTGTGTGCCAGTACAGTTTTAGGGTCAGTATCTTACCCAAGCTCACAGAGCTAAGAGGTGGTACGGCTGAGATTGTCAATCAGGCTGTCTGACTTCAGCATCCACAGGCTTGAATACTATGTTGTTTTGCTTCTTATAATTCCAAGGAACTCGGTTTGTAACCTGCAGCTTCAGGGAATATATAAGAGCCCTGTGATAATGTGCAAAATATCATGCGCCTATGCAATGCACATGTGCCTTGTTCTGAGAGGGAATTCATAGCATTCATCATATTTTAATGGGTCAGAAGGCTATTGCTTTGCTCTGTCTCAGGAACAGGCTACACACTACTCCTCCCTAACCCCAATCCCTCATCTTCTCCAGATGCGTTTGTATCCCCAGCACCTAGGACAGTGCTCTTATTACAGGCTGTATTCTTATTACAGGCCTTGCCAGCTCCTGCCAGGTCTATTGCACTAGCCTTCTGCATGGTCTCCCTAGTCCAAGTTCTTCTTCCTTTTGTTCATTCTTTCTTTCTTTCTTTCTTTTTTTTTTTTTTACTTTTTTAAATTAAGCCTTGACTTTTGATATCTAATGTTCATTCTTTCTAACATGCAAAGGGCATCCTATTTTTCACTGTAAAAATTCAATCCCTCCCCATTGGTTGAAGGATGACATGTAAAATCCCCAGGGCCTGCAGTGCTCTGCCATCTGCCTCCCTGCTTTATCTTGTCTCTCAACCAGCCTCCCAATCAGCACCAATCCCTTTCCACTCCTTTCATTCTTTAGGCACCAGCTCACTTGGTGCCTCCTCCAAGAAGCCTTCTTTAACTGCCTTGGGTTTCCTTCCCTTTGGTTCCCTGCATTTGGGGCCTACCTCCATTTTAGCCCTATTGTGTGCCTATATTGTCTTTAAGTTCCCTTCACACCTCCCTGCTGGACCTCCAACTCCTTCAGGACAAGACTGGCTTTTCACCTTTGAGAACCAGCACCTGACACACTGAAGACACTCAGCAAGCATTGTTGAAGGACTTAATGCCATTTGTCAGGAGGGAGTGTGAATGAGTCCGTGCAACTCCATGCTAACTTCCACAAACACACCTGCATTGCTAGGTGAGGAGCTTTACTTTCTTAGGTATAAATGAGGGCACACCTGGAGAGAGAGTGTGTGTGTGTGTGTGTGTGTTTAAGTTTGGAGGCAGTGCAGTGCATTGGCTATGGAGTTAGACAAACCTTAGTTCATATTTAACTCTGCTGCTAACTGGCTGTGTGACCTTGAGTAAGTTACATTACCTCTCTCTGAATCTTAGGTGCCTCATCTCTGAGAAAAGAATAATACCTCTTCCCCCCACATTATGAACTTAAATGAGTTAATGCATTAAAATGGCAAACTCCATGCAAAGCACATTGACAGGGCTTCAACAAATGGGGGTTCTCTTCCCCCCTACTTGAGTTTGCAAACGTGCTGGGAATTGTTATGGGAAGCACCTGGCTTGGCTTTTTATCTATTTAGGCATATTTACAAATACATTTCACCCTAATTTGTATTTTTATCGAATGAACAGTTGTATTCGAACCAGTGTGATGATGCATGTGTTTATATTTACATTTGCCTCGGCACGGACAGTGGCATATTTGGATAGGAAGTGTGTACACACACTGAGAGTGTTGTGTTGGCGGGTGGGTGTTGCATGTTGAGTGAGTGTGGGGAATTAAATGTGTGCTGTGTGCTGCATACGTGGGTGGAGGACTGGTGTGTGCAGCTTTGTGTGTGTGTGAAGGCTGTGGATCCTGAGTTAGTGTGTAGCCAGCAGATGTAAACCGGCACTTTCCAATAGAACTTTCTGCATATCGATAGAAATGTTTTCTATTTACACTGTCCAATAGAGTAGCCACTAGCCGCCTGTGGCTATTGAGCACTTGAAATGTGGCTAGTGCAACTAAGAAACTGAAGTTTTGATTGTATTTAATTTTAATCGATTTAAATGTAAGTAGCCACAGGTATGCCATAGACAGAAACATAAGCCTGTTCTCCCACACCAGGTGGTGTGCATCCCCCTTCCTCTTACCACAGGAAGCCCATCCATCCTGTCCCAACCACAACAAGTAAATAGACCCACTGAAGCCCCGCCCGCGCGCGTGTGCGCCTGTGAGCAGGCGCGTGTGAAATGTACAGAGGGGGCGCCCCCCCCCCAAGTCCCCAGCGGAGCATTGAATCAGCCTGACAATGAGGTGAGTCATTCATGAACTGCTCAGGACCAGCCCAGCAGGCGGGAAGCAAACGTCAGCCAGCCTCCCAGCCCTACCCCCCAAGCCCCTGGTGGGATCGCTCAACCCCACGCACTGCAGATGTTGTTGAAGCAACTGACGCGGACGAATCCAGCTCCTCTCCTCAGCCCCTCCCTCTGGTTTGCAATCCATTCATCCCCCAGCCCCTCTCTCCTCTCCAGTGGCAAGTGAATCATCTCAAGATCTCCCTGAGGATGGAGTCATTCGGCTTCTTTATCCTCTCCGCCCCCATCCAACACCCACCTCCCCAAGCCTATCCCAGTTGGTCCTCCTCCAAGGCTGGGGGTTGGGGGCGTTGCCAGGGTCAGGCTTCCAAAGCAAAGCTGACCCACTCAGGGCTGGGGGGGGCGGGGCTCAGGATAGGTTGCAGCTGGCTAGATCCCAGGGGACTGGCATCCAGCATGCTTGGAGGAGCATGAAGACAAACATGGAGGCAGCAGGAAAGGAGTTGCTAGGGTGCTGCCTGGAGCACCTGTGGCTGGTGGGGAGTAGGGGTGGGGAGCGGGGGTAAGGAGCAGGCAAGACTATTCCTCTGGTTTCCAGGGATGTCCCACACAGTATCTCCTCAGTGCCTGACAATCTTAGAGCCTGGTAGCTTCTCTCCTCCACATACACCTGCTTGGGGACAGCCCCCCCAACCCCTTCATCAGTCAGTCTTCTTCTCCCTTTGGACTTAGCATTACCTGAGGCTTCTGACGTGGACAACTGGGTCCCATGGTGGTGTTCCTTCCTGAAAATACCCTCAAATGGCTTAAAAAATGTGTAGGCCCTTTGAAAAGGCTTCACTTCTAAACATGTATCCTAAGAAAATAATACAGCAATTGATGTGAGCCAAGATTTAGCTATAAGAATGTACATCACAGCATTATTTAGAACTGTGAGTTTTCTGCTGTAGGCTCTGCTGGTTGCCATCAAAATGGGCAAGTTTATGAAACCTGGAAAAGTGGTGCTGGTCCTGGCTGGATGCTACACCTGACAGAAAGCCATCATCATCGTGAAGATCATTGATGATGGCACCTCATACTGTCCCTACAGCCATGCTCTGGTGGCTGGAATTGATTGCTATCCCCACAAAGTGAAAGCTGCTATGGGCAAGAATAAGATCACCAAGTGATCAAAGATCACGTCTTTTGTGAAAGTTTATAACTGCAATCACCTCATGCCCACAAGATATTCTGTGGATATACCCTTGGACAAACTGTCATCAAGAAGGATGTGTTGGCCAGGCACAGTGGCTCACGCCTGTAATCCTAGCACTCTGGGAGGCCGAGGCGGGAGGATCGCTCAAGGTCAGGGGTTCGAAACCAGCCTGAGCAAGAGTGAGACCCCGTCTCTACTATAAATAGAAAGAAATTAATTGGCCAACTAATATATATATAGAAAAAATTAGCCAGGCATGGTGGCGCATGCCTGTAGTCCCAGCTACTTGAGAGGCTGAGGCAGGAGGATTGCTTGAGCCCAGGAGATTGAGGTTGCTGTGAGCTAGGCTGACGCCACAGCACTCACTCTAGCCTGGGCAAAAAGTGAGACTCTGTCTCAAAAAAAAAAAAAAGAAGGATATCTTCAGAGACCCTGCTCTTAAACTCAAGGCCCAATGGGAGGCCAAGGTCAAGTTTGAAGAGAGGTATGAGACCAGCAAGACTAAGTAGTTCTTCCAGAAATTGTGGTTTTAAGTGTTTTGTGTTTCAGTCATTAAGAATATTTCCAAAAATCCCCACAAAAATAAATAAATAAATCTGAAAAATTGGAAACAATCCACATGTCCATCAAAAGAGGATTGAATACCCAGCACTCTGGGAGGCCAAGGCAGGAGGATCCCTTGAGGTCAGGAGTTCCAGACCAGCCTGAGCAAGAGCAAGACCCCATCCCAGCTACTCGGAAGGCTGAGGCAGGAGGATCACTTGAGCCCAGGAATTTGAGGTTGTGGTGAATTATGATGACACCATGGCACTCTAGCCCAGGCGACAGAGGGAGATTCTGTCTCAAAAAAAAAAAAAAAAAAAAGTATTTACCTAATTAGTAACAATTGTTCTTGTTGGATTATATATTTAAGAATGATTTTATTTTCTTCTTTTCTGACTTTTCCCTCCAGAATTTCTACAATAAGAGTTTATGACTTTTTACAGTGGAAAAAAATAATTAATGTCTTAAGTGTTTTAAAAACCATTTGTGGGGGCGGTAATGGGAATTAAGTGGAAATGGGCATTTTATTGTGGTGTTCTAAAACTGGATTATAGTGATGGTTGTATAACTTGGTGTATTTACTAAAAACTATTGAATTGTACACTTAAAATGGGCAAATTTTATGTTATATAAATTATACTTAAATAAAGTTGTTTAAAAATTTTTAAACAGTGAGATGTGCACCATCTGGGGGATGGTCATGATGGAGACTCAGACTTTTGGGGGGAAGGGGGGAAATGGGCATTTATTGAAACCTTAAAATCTGTACCCCCATAATATGCCAAAATAAAAAAAATTAAAAAAAAATTTTTTTAAACAAAAGCCATTTGCTGGGCTGTCGGCATCGAGATCAGTCTTCCAACCTGACATGCTTCTAGGAGCCCTAAAACAAACACAGGATTTGAGGGTAAGGGTATAGGATCAATTCTTTTCTTTTTTTTTAGACAGAGTCTCACTCTCTTGCCCTGGGCTAGAGTGCCCTGGCATCAGCCTAGCTCACAGCAACCTCAAACTCCTACACTCAAGTGATCCTCCTGCATTAGGCTCCCGAGTAGCTGGGACTACAGGTACACGCCACCATGCCCAGCTAATTTTTTCTATTTTTAGTTGTTTGGCTAATTTCTTTCTATTTATAGTAGAGACAGGGTCTTGCTCTTGCTCAGGCTAGTCTCAAACTCCTGAGCTCAAGCAATCCTCCCACCTCGGCCTCCCAGAGTATTAGGATTACAGGTGTGAGCCACCATGCCCGGCCAAAATCAATTCTTTGGTAATTCTGGTAACCCTAGTCTGGACTCCTTACTCCTACAGGATCCCTGGGGTAGGGAAACAGACATGTGGGTGGACATCTGGCCTTGTACCTCCACCCCCACCCCCACCATGATTCTACAAAGCCTGGGAGAATGGGGTGGGGAGCCCAGGTGACAGAAACAGCAAGGTGAGAGAGGGTGGGGACAGGGGTCATTACAAGCATGGGTGTGGGAGGTGAGTGGGGGCTTGGCGAGTGGGAGTGGCCAGAGCCAGAAGGCCAGGGAATGGAAAGGCCAAGGCTGGAGGTGGGGGTGAGGCTTACCCGTTCCCATGCCCCATGCTAGCCCTTCACACAGGGCTCCACGTCATCCCCCAACAACCCAGAGCAAGGCTGTCATTGGCCATTTCGCAGGTGAGGACAAAGAGATCCAAGAGATTAAGGAAATTTACCCAAGCTCACACAACTGGTGAGTGGCAGAACCTCATTCCAATCTGGGTCTTTAACTTATTGAAATGCTTTCCACAAAGGCAGCCCCCTCCCATGGTTAAGCCACTGATTAAATCAGGCTCTAGGCTCGGATAACCTGGGGTCAGACCCTACATCTTCATTTACTGGATTTGTGGCTTCTTGCAAGTTCCTGAAGTCTCCTGAGCTTTAGGTCATTCATCTTAAAAGTGGGGATGATAATAATAATAATAATGATGATGCCCACCCTGAGGGGTTTCTGGGAGGATTAAATGAAATGATGCAGGTAAGGTCCCTTGTCTGCTGCCCTGTGTGCTGAGCAAAAATGTGACTTCACAGATGTGCTGGAAACTCTGCTATTTGAGCATGAAGGGACATGCCTTCCACCCAGACACTCTGAATGGAGGACTTCCTGTTTGGGTGTCCTGGGACCTCAGGGAGTTCCTGGGAGAAATGCGCATGGCTGTCTCTGCCTGCCTGGGTGACACCCCCGACTGGTGCTGCACCAGAGAGTCTAGGGTCTGCCCTGGCCCTGCCACTTACTGATTGCTTAACCTCCCCGAGTCTCCATTGCATATCTACCTTGTACAGTTGTTGTGACAGGGCTTTTCTTTTTTAAAATTAATTAATTTTTGTTTTATTTATTTATTTATTGAGATAAGGTCTCACTCTGTCACCCAGGCTAGAGTGCAATGGTGCAATCAGAGCTCATAGCAGCCTCGAACTCCTGGGCTCAAGCGATCCTTCTGCGTCAGCCTGGGACTTACAGGAGCATGCCACCATGCCCAGGTAATTTTTACAATTTTTTGTAGAGATCGGGTCTTGCTATATTGCCCAGGTTGGTCTCAAACTCCTGACCTCAAGTGATCCTCCTGCCTCGGCCTCTAAAAGGGCTAGGGTTATAGGTGTGTGCCATCTGCCTAGCCTAAGACAGAACCTTTCAAAAGGAAGTCGCTTGATAAATGTTTTTTTTTTTTGAGACATAGTCTCGCTTTGTTGCCCAGGCTAGAGTGAGTGCCATGGCATCACCCTAGCTCACAGCAACCTCAAACTCCTGGGCTCAAGCAATCCTACTGCCTCAGCCTCCCGAGTAGCTGGGACTACAGGCATGTTCCACCATGCCTGGCTAATTTTTTCTATATATATATTAGTTGGCCAATTAATTTCTTGCTATTTATAGTCTTGCTCTTGCTCAGGCTGGTTTCAAACTCCTGACCTCAAGCAATCCTCCCGCCTCAGCCTCCCAGAGAGTTAGGATTACAGGTGTCAGCCACTGTGCCAGGCCTAATTGATAAATGTTTATGATATAAGAGCTGCAAGCTGTATGTTAACTGAAGACTGCTTGCTGGAGGGAAGACAATTGGGCCAGTTTGTGGGCCAATAGTCCACACCTCTCTACGTAGCTTGTAAGTCCACTGAGTATTATTCTCTATTGTGTCATGACCTTAGGGCTGAGAGGGCCTTCTGGAATCACAGTGTCCTCCAATCACAGAGGGGAACTGAGATTCAGAGCGGGCACGTGATTTGCCTGAACTTCTC